TCATCATCATCATCATCATCATCATCATCATCATCATCATCATCATCCACTGTTACTGGTAATAGGGTAGACCCAAAGCATAGTAGTATATTGTTCGTCTACAATGTTCTATATGGTCCATGCCTGATCATGGACCGTCCATGGGTTGCCCGGTCGTTCGGATACGTTCAGATGTAGGTGCTGAAGGAAGATGACCTCATCACCAAGGACTTCCATCGCAGTGCACTGAGCGTCCAGGAGGGGCACCAACCACTCGCTTCTTTTTATCGCCGAGCATCACCGGGTTCGGTCTGAAGACAACGATTTGGTAGAGTTTCTTGTTCTTGCGAATCTTCAACACTTCAACCGACTTCAACACACCTCTGTGTCTTCAGCTCCATGTCAACTCAGCTTGTCAGTTGGGATTTCTTGATTGATTGTCCGTTGTTTTCCAGCCAGTTGTACCGGGATTGTGGGTGACGTGAAGTGGTCGGTGCGGTGGTCCAGGTGCATGAAGGCAGCTAAAAGGGGCCGGGCCTCGGAACTCTTTCAGGGAGCTGCCGAAACATAGAAAGCCGTCTTGGATTCAGGGTTGCTCCTTCCGCCACTGGTCTCACCCACTGGATATGGGCTCTAGCTTTCTACTTATCCTCATGCCATGTGTTAGGAGGAACAGGCGCCAGAAAAAGATGAGGAGCTCTTTGCTGTCCTTTGGGCCGCTTGGCCGGGAGGGGGAGCTTGAAGACTGGGAGAACTGCTATGCCTGCTATTATTGTTGGAAATCTTCGGAATGGTAATCCATGGTCATCCAATGTTTCTTGGGGCAGGTGACATGAGCAAGCATGTGGCTGTTTTCGTTGTTTCCTTCCCAAGCAAGCCACACGTAGCACGTGTCCGACGTGTCGGCCGTCAGGTGTCGGCCGTCAAGGTGTCCGGACAGCTCACGTCAAGGTGTCACGAAGAAGAAACGGGCGGCACTTGTTACTAGTAGCTTCTTGTTGCTCGTCGTCATGCCCTTGGCCCTTGTTACTAGTTGCGATGCACTTGTTACTAGTAGCTTCTTGTTACTAGTAGTGGGAGAGACTCTTCGATCTTCCCCCGAAGGAAACTCGCCACCGGCGGCGCAAGCCGGCGGAGTTTCTCCAACGTCTACGCCGTCGCTTCCGTGGACGGCGGAGTTTCACCGTGACGACGCTCCGATTGGTCGGATCTCCCGGAGGTTCTTCGGTGGGAGATGATGCACCGATGATGATCCGAGATGTCAACATCCGATGTCAACATCGTGCGAAATCGCAACCTGATTTGAGATCAACCATCCTATATATCATCCGGAGACACGTCAGGATGCGCCAATGAAGCGGCCGAAGCGGGGGGAGCCTGAGGCACGGTGCTTACCGTGAGAAATGCAGATGATTTGCGTTGATTTGCACATATAATAGATATTGATATAGCTAAGTGCTGCACTTTGCTATCTTTATTTGAATCGTAATTTGATTGAAGAAAGGCCGGAAGAGGACAGGAAGGGCAGAATCTGAAGGTTTCAGTGGAAAGTCCAGGAACCACCTCCCAAGCAGCAGAATCATTCTTCTGATCCCTGTTCAATCTGGTTCATGTGATCATCACTATTGCGTTTCGTCGCCTAAATGGGTGTTTTTTGACCATATCCTAGGCCCCACAGGCGCCCCTCCAACGGAGAACTCCACTCCGTCTCCACGTGGAACGCGATAGCTCCAGGCCTTGGCTCCTTTACCCGTTCCCGAGCGGGACGAGGCCACCCTGATGGCTAGGCAGGGCACCACGAGCGGGAAGGTCGGGAAGGTACGAGCGGGAAGGTCGCTCCCCGCGTGGTAGCCGCACACAGACACACGGACCAGGTGTCAACCAGGTGTGGGGATTAACGTGTTGGTGATGTGTGAGCGACATGTGGGGGAATGGGAGAAGGTGATGGCAACCTGGGGGGAAGGTGATGGCAACCTGGCAGCCAGAGCTTTTTTAGGGGCAGGGTGGGGCAGCATTGGGTGATGTTGGGGGAAGAAGGGCAAAGGGGGGGCAATGCGGAGGCAATGTCGGGGCAATAGAATCGCCAAATTATTTATATAAGACGTTAGAGTTATGTAGCTAGAGCAGTTGGGGTGGCAATGTGGGGGTTCGGTGCTCACGCAGGACGCAGCGGGCCTTTGAGATGCAGCGCTTCCTGCGGGCAGGGTTCAGCTTGGAGGAGGCTGTCGACTGGTGTGCTGCTCCCCTGCGTTGGAAAAAGCAACCCCGGCAGTTTTGGAATACAGCTGTCAGCTTGGCAGCTGGGCACGTCATTGTGAGAATGACAATTCATGAGTTCTGCTGAGGAATATTTGACCCACAGTTTTTGCTGCCGGGAGTTGTATCAATAGTTTTCAACGGATTAGGACGGTTCCATTTCCAAGTGCGGTCTCACAACGCACCAGCCTGATATGTCACAACGTATCACTAACCCCTCATATTCCTGAGAGCGAGGTCAGGCCTTAAGTGATGGTAAACGAAGGACAAGATGCCTCCGTCACTAATTTTGTCGACTGGCATCAAGAAGTCTGAATTCTTATGTTGACTCCTCTTACAGTAGGAGTCTTTTGCTTTGTCACCATATATGTTTTTGGCTTCGAAAAGGAGGGCCATTTAATTTAGGAAGTTTTTCTTCTATTTTTTTTTTCTCGTGGCTTTTGGCTTCTGTGGCTTTTGGCTTTGGTGGCTTTCGTGACTTCTGTGGCTTTTGGCTTTCTTGGCTTTCGTGGCTTCCGTGGCTTCTGGCCTTCGTGGCTTCTGTGGCTTTTGTGGCTTTTGGCTTTCGTGGCTTCTGTGGCTTTTGTGGCGTTTGGCTTTCGTTGCTATCGTGGCTTCTGGCTGTGTGTCACAACCGGGACACCCTGGTTGACCACCTGAAAATGGACAGAATAGACTACGAGACATAGTCAACCACCAGAGTTTGGGGCTCCAGGTTTTGACCCACAGCCTGGCTGTTTGCTACTAGTTACTAGTCCATCTTTGGAGGAATGTGAAGTCCGAGGCTCTCCGAGACCCGCACCTGCCACGAAATCAATATTTTAAGGTGAACTCCCCGGTGCAAAAATTTTTAACCAACCAAATATGCCTCCTGTGCTAGTTCTCTTTCTCTTTGCTGTTTCTCTGCCAACTGCACCAAACTGTCGTGATAGGTAGGAATTTCTCTGACACCTACACTATTCCAATGTATTTTGCCAGCAAATCTGTCTACCTATCCATCTATCTGTCTATATCTATCTGTCTATATCTATCTGTCTATATCTATCTGTCTGTCTGTGTCTGTCTGTGTCTGTCTGTGTCTGTCTGTGTCTGTCTGTGTCTGTCTGTGTCTGTGTCTGTCTCTGTCTGTCTGTCTGTCTGTCTGTCTATCTATCTATCTATCTCTCGATTTATCTGTCTGTCTGTCTGTCCGTCCGTCCGTCCGTCCGTCTGTCTGTCTGTCTATCGATCTGTCTATCTATCTCTTTCTTTCTTTTGTCGTTCTTTCTTTCTGTCTATCTGTCTTTCTGTCTTTCTTCCTTTCTTTCTTTCTTTCTTTCCTATCTGTCTATCTGTCTATCTGTCTATCTGTCTATCTGTCTATCTGCTATCTATCTATCTATCTATCCATCCATCCATCCATCCATCCATCCATCCATCTATCTATCTATCGATCCATGTATCTGTCTATCTTTCTATCTGTCTATCTATCTAGCTATCTAGCACCTGCCACGAAATCTGCACTTCAAGGTTTAGAAAGTACTGCGCCTGCCACGAAACACGAAAAACAAACAAACACAAACAAGAAAAAATCCGAAAATTAAATCCGAGCCCCTTCGAAAGCCACCCTTTCCGTTGGCAGTCCACACGAGGCGGAAGAAAAGTTCCAAGCTGGCGAGATCTTGCCGCCCACAGCAGCCTCGAGGTGTGAACAGGGAGGGAAAAACACCCACCCATGGTTTAAGTCCTTGGGCCATGGGGGTGGCTGGGAGGCCCAAAAACGGCAGTGCCACCCATTTAAACAATCATCCAGCTTACTCAAGTGTTGCCAACTCCGGGCTCCCATTCCTGCACCTTCGCAGCACGACCGGTGGACGGTTTTCGCCCGGTCGAAGGTCCGTCGCACCGGCTGGAGGCGTCCTGTTCCGAAGCCACCCGGTGGCCCGGGTTCACCCAAGCGTCCGCAGCTAAAGCGCTCGACGCATGGCGGGAATTGGGGAACGGGAGCGGGATGGACATTTGGGCTTCAATTTGGGGTTTGAACAAGTCAAGTGCGTTTTGATTCGAGTTTATGTCCCCGTGACTTGCAGACTTGAAATGCAGAGATTGTGTGCTGACATGTCACTCGGCAGTTCCCACATTCCCTTGTGGTGGCTCCCAAGGCTGTCGGAAGAGGAAGAGCGAATGAAACGTGTTGAGGCACCAGTTGCGCATTCAGATTTCAGATGTTCAAAATGTTGTGATTCACAACAAATCACATATCAATGGATTTTTTGGTTCACATATCATATCATGCAGATTTGTGTTACTTTTGGATTAACTCCTTTCCGCTCACACACTCGGCAAGTTTTGGATCAGCTCTCCCATGCTGTGGAGGAAGTCATGAGCTTCACTGGCGTGGAACGCTCGGCTGCGGAGAAGGCCCTAGAGGAGAACGCTTCTGTTGACTTATGAGTGATGACTCATGAGACGCTTACGTTGGCAGTGGGAATTTTCACCGGTGCATCCATCAGACCTCGCTTCGGCACATGAGTCAATGCCACGTCGGTCCGACCCACACGCCGGCACCGGTCGGCGCAGGTCGTTCTTCCGTTTCGCTTGGGTCGTTCATGGCTTTGCGGGACGGGACGCAGGGAGAAAGGGTTTGCACGAAGGCGGACGCGGCCAACGGAGCTGGCTCTCTTGAGTCTCTTGAGCATGGTGGGTTCACTTCTCGCGACTCACGCGACGCTTTTCGAGCTGCCCTGGGGCTGCAGCGAGCGAGTGCGATGCGTTCGATGCTCGGCATGGCGGGTCATTGCAGTTTCATCCGTTTGCTTGAGTGACTGCGATGAGCTCCAAAGCAAGAAGAGCACGTCAGACTATTGATGGTACGTGGCTGTTGGTTCCCAGGACATGGCTCCCCGTTGGCCATGTCCTTTCCGCCCCCTTTCCGGACTCCAGGTGGTCCATACACCGGGTCCGTCTCACCGTCCAGGTCTTCGGTGCCGTTGGCATCCATTCGACGAGGCCTGAGTTGGGTCTCTCAGAGTGGAAGGGCCCAGCTCCGAAATGGAGAGGAGGCACACTGCCGCAGCCCAGGTCTTCGTGGCATCTTGCATCAGGTCTTTTGGAGCATTCGCCAAGTACGAGAGACAAGTACAGGTTTGACAGATGCAGTTGCCCTTGTCCCACCGGCGCTGAAGCTGGCTTGATGTTGTTCAGCTCGACAGAAGCACAGGGGGCTCAAGCAGAATGCGCGAAGTTGGAAAAGGTGAGTCCTGCCAGGATGGCATCCTATCCTGAGGGGCCTGCTGCCTGCTGGAACAGAATTTGCTCTATCACAAAGGCAGCATGTTTATTCTTTTTCGCGTGCGGGACGTTGGACTTTAGCGAATCATACTTCCGAATCACACCTCGATTCATACCACAAATCACACCCATCAAGACTTGTGCTAGAACATGGTTTCATGATGTTTCATGCTCATCGACGTACCTGATCTTCAAAACAACCCTTCTCTGAAGGCATCGTTTGACGCGTCCATACGGAAACCTTAAACCCATGCAGGTAAAGCACATACAGCCTGGTACGAATTAACTTTAAGGTCGGTCTTTGTAAGGATGCCTTTGCCTTGCAAATCTGGACACACATCACCACAGTTGCCCTTGCTTGTTCTGCTTGCTAAAGTTTCCACAGAACAAGAGCAATGACCCTGAAGTATTGGTCATCCTCATGTGGACTTCATCCCCATGACGATGTGAGGCAGCTCAACTATACTCAACCTGCACACGACAGGAGCCTGTGCTTCGCCGTTGTGCCATGCGACAGGAGACCCAGTGGATCACTGACCTGGCTGTGAACCACGTGTTGGACGGCCTGGTCGCCGACTGACGCCACGAAGGCTTTGAGACCTGCAAGGCACGCCCAAGATGTGTTAGCCTCAAGCGGTTGCGTTTTTCTTGACAATTTTTACTTTTCTTGACTTGCTTTGCCCTTGGGTGATCAAATTCTATTTGAACATTCTGTTCAACACAGGCCGCGCTTTACCACCCAGAGATACTCACAGCAATCGATGGCTGTGAGGTTTGCCAGACGAGCGAGGTATATATAGATAACTAAACATAAGAGGCTGTGTATCATCCATGGGAGGTCGGAGATTCTGGTCCTTTTCTTTGGTCACTTTGACTTGAGGTGCCTGATGTAGTTCCTGCTGTGCTTCGTTCCTCACGGTCACCCGAGCGCCACGGCCCACAGGTGGAGTGCGAACACGGTCTCCTCGCGCGTGGTGCAGGAAAGCCCTGTGCTCCAAAAAGGGCCGCTCCGGACCCTGGCACGACATGAACCGAATCCTTCGGCCCCACTGGTGCGAAGGCAGGGAATGAGGGAACCTTTGCACGAGGAACCTTCGACCACCCGAAACTTCTTCGGCGTCGTTTGGGCCGGCGGGGTTCGGGCGTGAGTGCCTTCGCCGCTCCGGCGCAGCCGTCCAGTCCTTGGCCGAAGTCATAGACCGGATTGGGGACACGTAGATTCATGCACCAATTGAAACTGGACTCTTGGGAAAACAGATCAAAGTGCTTCAACAAATATATCATAAGAAGTTTATACTGTAGAAGTTTACAAAAGTGTGTACATGATCCACCGTGCGTTGGGCAGGTTGTGTGTGGCGGGGTGTGTAGTCGGTGTCAACCAAATACGAGTTGTGATTGTCATGGGAGTTTGAGATTTGATTGTTATGAATTTCGTACTTTGACCCAAGACTTTACCAAATGGCCAGTTCAGCTTTGTTTCCCCCACCGTATGCATTGTGGGAATCCTGCGCGTGCACTGGCGTGCTCCCTTCAGCAGGTCTGACGAGGGAATAGTCGTGATCCGACCAAGGCTGCGGTGCACCCTTGGGACGAAGGGATGTAGTATATGATTATATATGTATGTAAATATGGGCATGTCCGTGTATCGGGTATGTTGCCTGTGTATCATCAGTCCCACTTCCATGTGCTCAAGGCCAAGGTAATCTTCCTGCAGAAGACTCAACGGGCTAACCAACGCAAATAGCAGCAAGCTATGACCGTCCAAGAGTTACCTGGGTCCAAGCCAGTTTGGGAAGAACAGGAGGCCGCCTGCTTTGAGTGAGTCGTCAAAAATAGATAAGATGTTGTATATATATATATACACATACAATTATATTATACATATATATTTTCTAAGTAGTTTAAGCATGTTTTTTTTTGTATTTTGGTCAATGGGCGACACAGAAACTCTCAGCTGACGCCAGCTGGTTTTCAGCACTCCATGGACTCGATTAGCAGCTTAGACAGCTTAGGCAACCAAAGCCCCAAAAAACACACTGGGATCGTGGGACCAATGAATCCCGCACTAATATACACCGCAAAGACTTTGCAGCACCGTCGCATGAGTTTGGGCCACCCAAGTAATTCAACTGCATCGAAGTGTCAGCCATTAGTCCAATGGGAAAGCAGTACACTCAGTACCCCCTATTCCGATGGATCCAGCCCACCCAGAATCAACAGCAGACCAGATTTCACCCAGCCACGTCCATTTGCAGCATGTCACAGCTCCACTTCAAGCGGCTTTTGCGCGAGAGCCTTGGCTGCCCGAGAGCCTGTGAGCGGTGGGGTTTCCCAGTGAGAATCTTCCATGCGCTCATCATCTTTTTGTGGAAGGTGAGCCGTTCAAGCATCTCCCACCCCAAACGTTCACCTCGTTACGAACATTGGGCGACTGGACACGCTTGGGAAGTTTCCGATTGGTGGAAACGATGAGGCTCGTGGTAGGTATGAGTCAGGTATGAGGCAGACAGAAACGAAGCAGCGTGGATGCGTGAAGAGCGTCTTTCAGAGCACATAGCCACACATCACATCACATCACATCACATAACTTCTGCAGAAGCTCTGTTGAAGATTGCCGTACGCAACTCCTTTATTGGATGCTCATTTATTAGTGGAATGTAACAACATTTGTTTTTATTCAGGTCATACCTGGTTTCATCATTTCTTATGCTGAAGTCATTGGACCCTTACCGTTGCCATTTGTGTGACACAAAGGACGGCAACTTGTTCGGGGCAGTCCAACAGTTTTCAGGTAGGAAGCTTGGGTGTCGAATTTCGTTGGATGGCAGGGGAGTGTAGAGTCCACCGTCCAGGGATCCATTTGGGAATGTTATATATTATATCATATCGCTGTGTATGTCTATCTATCTATCTATCTATCTTTCTTATCTATCTATCTAATCTATCAATCTATCAATCTATCAATCTATCAATCTATCAATCTATCAATCTATCTATCTATCTATCTATCTATCTATCTATCTATCTATCTATCTATCTATCTAATCTATCACTCTATCTATATAATCTATCAATCTATCTAATCTATCTATCTATCTATCTATCTATGCAGATTTTATGATGTGTGGTCATTACCAGACCCCCCGAGTTGTTTAGGATGCCCTCGGCCAGACTCATGTGCTCCACCTTCACACAAGATGACTAAAGTCTTCACTGTAGACTCCTGCCACAGGCACGCACATCAAGTTGCCAGATGTGCAAGGTGAACTAGGTCCTCTTTGACGAACCTTGATTGGAATGACCCTATCAGTTTCATTCCGCAGCTCTGGGCTCAAGCACGGCTTGCCCGCCATGATCAAGGACTTCCTTGAGGAGTTGGAGAGCGAGAGCGATGCAAGTCCTTCTGAGAGGGGAGCTTTGCAGTCCTTCTTGCAAAGGCACGGCTTCACCAGCATCTACAGTGCTCGCCAGGTGAATTGTCGGGTCGTTCGGGTGGATGCTCGGCTGGTCTTTTTGGGTGTGCCAGGGATGGAAGATCAGCATCTTCGTTTCGACATGGCATGATGGTTGGTGTGAGGAACGGGTCTATCCCATCCATGTTGCCGCACAGCTTGGAGATCTCACGATGGTGAGGATGCTGCTGGAAGAGGGTGCTGATGCACGTCAGGCCGGGCAGGACACAGGTTTTGCGCTGCTGTTGCAAGTGAGTTTGGGAACCCCTACCATTGGATTTGTGCCCTTCATGGCGGCCTTTGGGTGCCTTGCTAGGTGCTAGTTCGATCCCACTTGATCGCACGACTTTGAAAAAAGAACGCCTGTGGTCATTGGGCCCCGTTCCGGTGCTGTGGTCATTGCCGAAGAAGAGCCAGGATTCAGACTCATGCGATGGCCTCAGCAACTAGTAGCGTCCTTGTTCCCAGTAGTAAGGCCAGGAGCGCCTTGTTTCTTCGCGTCCGATCGCTCCGATCGAGTCGCGATGCCCTTTGTTACTCATAGCGATGGCCTCCAACCTGAACTGCGCGGCCCCGGCTAGACTCGTCGACTCGTGGACGTCCACGTCGAGTCTCGTGGACGTCGTCTTGTTTTGTCGTTTGGGTTGATGCAGAATGAATTGATATCAATTGGTATTCCCCCGTTGCTTTATGTTGCCATTTCATTTGCCTTTCGGTCGGTTTGAGAAGCGGTTTTTCTGGATTCTAGGATGAACGTTCACACAAACATGAGTGCAACGGACGCATTCCAAGTCTTGCGCAGGTGTGCTTGGACGGCCGCACGGCAGTTGACTTTGCCCGTTCAGCCGATGTGAATGGCTCCCATCGAGAGGTCATGGAGGTGCTGGACACGGGCATTATTTCAATCTCATTCTGAATTTTTCAGGCGGGATGATGCTCGTGACTTGTCAGTAATTACATGGAATTATATACATGTAATTACCTTGCTTATGTAGCGTCACTTTGTTGTTGAACTTTCCATGGCTATGAAACGCCAATCTCACCACTCATCCTTCCGCGTTTGATACCATCTTCACGCGAACACTCATGTTAAAATCCCCTGCGCCTGCAAAGCTTTGTGCTTCAGACTGCCAGGGGTGCCGGTGCTTTTGCAGCTTATCCATCACAGCATTGAGGAAGCCTGTGTTGGACAGACATTTGCTGTTCTCGAGGTGCTCATTTTGTTCAAGTTGCTGTTAATTGCAATGGCTCCAATGACGAGACCTCAGCCAAAAACACACCACTTCCAAAGTCCAACTTTGTCCAAATTCCCAAGCACAGCCCTGTGGTAGGTGGAGAGGCGATGGGAGGCCATGGACGATGACCAGCGAAGCGAAGAGAGTCACCGCTATTGACCACTGATTTGGCAAGACAGGGAAAGAAGTTGTACAAGAACGGTTGTGAGAGACATAAATCAGGGGATTGGCTTTACGGGGAGCTGGAATCTCACCTGCCAAAAGGCGTGGTCATGTGGTTGCGGTTTAGTGTGGGTCCAGCAGTGGCTCGCACGTTTTTTGAAGTTGGGCACGGCCGCCCTGTCTGAGCCTATGCCAGTTGGGCCGCCGGTTTGCTCAGTCAGCACCTTCATACAGAAGCCTGCTCAAGCGCAGTGCCGCCGTGTTTGTTTTGGAGCAACAGGCTACAGAGGGAGAACTTGGCTCATTGAATAGGCATCACATCATCACTCTTTATGACCTGGGTTGTGGTTGATGGATGTTTGATTTTCAATGATTCTCATTGGTTTTGTGGACGGCATTGACATGGGCAGTCATGAGCTTTTCTGGGTTCTGGTGCGCTCCTCTGGCCTCTGGTGTGGCAGGTCGTGTGGAAGCGGACTGATTCCTAGTGACTGATTCTTTGAACCGCGTGGAGCGGCAGTTGCAAGCTCCAGCAACTGCTTCATTTGCAACCTACAGCCGTTATCAGCCTTTGCGAAGCAGGCTATTTGTTAAAGTAGGTGGTGTTCATATCTAGTGTTTTCGAGCAGACTAGTGACTGGTTGTGCGCATTTACCATGGCA